GTGGGGAAGTGGTCATGAGGGCAAGCTCTTTGCCTCACTGTCCCAGCTGGATCTTTCCCTGGCCGTCTGTCTGTCTGGATTATCTGGCATTATTCACACGCTTCTTATCCACGTGTGAAAGCCACACTGTCAGCCCAGTTGCTTGTCCACAGAGTTGTGGAATGTGGTCTGTTCACAGAACCGTCTGACTCAGTCACAGAAAGGAAGGAAGGGTGGGTGCGGCATTGCACTTGCCCCGCTGCCTGGAGGGAGGCCCTAGGGTCCATCCCCAGCCCCCATAAAACAAAACAAACAGAATTCTTGACCAAAGCTGAGGTAGCACAGACCTATAATCTCAGCTCTCAGAAGGCTGAGGTGGGAGGAACATGATAAATTCAAGCCCAGCCTTGGCTATAGAGCAAAACTGCCTTAAAAAAAAAAAAAAAAAAAAAAAAAAAAAAAAAAAAAAAAGACAAGTACAATAGACATGGCTCAGCATTCAAGAGTGTTTGCTGCTCTCACAGAGGGCCCGCTCAATTCCCAGCTCCTGTGTGCGTACCCACACATAAACATACATGCATACACGTAGTCTAAAACAGATATAAATAGAAATACATTTTAAAGTGAAGTAAGACGAAAGTGGGGACGGTATGGCCACACAGGGGTGAGTGAAGGGCCGGACCTCACTTGGGAGGGTGGATCTGTGGATCCACTGAGCCTCTCAGCCCCGTGTGCCCCCCCTCCCCCCACCGCGCTGAGGACCCGCCACTGTCTGAAGGCTTCTCACCACAGGTAACACCGGGGAGCACCCAGAAGCTATTATAGAAATGAACAGAGTTGGGGACAGGCCAGAAGCAGAGCAGGCATGGCCGGACTGAGCAGGCTCCTGGTCCGCCCCCTAGGCATTGCTCCTGCCCAGGCAAGGCTGCAGTGACCAGGAGCACTGTCTGGCATCGTGCAGGTTACAACCTGAGCAACTGTGACCTAGGTGGCCCTGGAGGGTCCCCAACAAAGAGGCGCGGGGCTGTGTGCTGAGAGTTGGAGAAAGAACACACCTAGGGCCTCAGGGGACAGACTCGATGACCTTCTGAAGTGGCGAATGGGAGTTTGGGGGGGGGCAGGCTCAGAGGAGAGACTGCTTCCTGGGTGTAGTACCCTTCCACACGATGGTGTTGTGAAGCAGCCATACTGTCGCTCTGCTTACGCAGCTCTGAGAAGGAAGATGGGTGCAGTAGGCACTCTCATGGTATACGTACTTCATTCTGTTGTGTGTGTGTGTGCGTGTGTGTGTGAGAACGCAGACGCTTGTGTGCGAATGCATGTGGAGGCCAGGTGTCCTCCTTTTCTCTTTTGTTTTTGAGACAGGGTGTTCTGCTAGCTGTATGTCAACTTGACACAAGCTAAAGTCATTGGAGAGGAGGGAACCTCAGTTAAGAAAATGCTGGCGGTCCTGGATTCTCTAAGGAAGCGGGCTGAGCAAGCGGTGAGGAGCAAGCCAGCAAGCAGCACCCCTCCTGGCCTCTGCACCAGCTCCTGCCTCCAGGTTCCTGCCCTGTTTGAGTTACTGTCCTGACTTCCTTCTGTGATGAACAGTGATATGGAAGTGTAAGCCAGGCAACCCTTTCCTCCCCAACTTGCTTTTGCCATGGTGTTTCATTGCAGCAATAGTTACCTTAACTAAGACACAGAGTTTCTCATGTAGCCTTGGCTGCCCCACAACTCACTCTGCAGACCAGGCTGGCCTCAGACTCAGAGATCTGCCCGCCTCTGTCCCCCAAGCGCTGGGATCAAAGGTGTGCACCACCACACCCAGACAGGTGTCTTTTTTGAGCACCCTCTACCTTACATGTTGAGGGAGGGCCTCTCGCTTGAACTCTAAACTCACCGAATCTGTTACTGAGCGTGCTCACAGGGTCCCCATCATCTGCACACACGCTGGGATGACATTTGGGCTGCCACACCTGCCCGGCACTCACATGCATGCTAAGGAGTCCCGCCCGGGGCTCACACTGACTGAACCATCTCTCCAGACAGCTACTGATTTACTATTTGTACGTATATATTTATTACATTTATTTTTATTTTATGTGCATTGGAAAATGTACGTCTGTAAAGGTCCCTTGGAGCCACAGACAAGTTGTGAACTGCCGTGTGGGTGCTGGAAATCGAACCCAGGTCCTCTGAAAGAGCAGCCAGTGCTCTTAAACCAGTGACTCGTCTCTCTAGCCCTTATTTATTTACTTTTCTGAGGCAGGGCCTCATGTAGCCCAGGCTGGCCTCAAACTTGCTCTGTACAAGGATGACCCTGACCTTCTGATCCTTCTGCTTCCATCTCTGAGTGCTGATATTACAGCTGGGGTACATGGGTGCTGAGGATGGGACCCAGAACTTCCTGGAGCAAACACTACCAGCTCTCCAATTTTGCTTTGGCTTGAGGTGAACTTTATAGAACACACAAGCAGCCACCTTGCTGTAGACCATTTGGTGGCGGTTTGTGCACCCACAGTGTTCTGCCTGCGCCAGCTCCCCCAAGTTCCGAGCCCTTTCTTCAGTACAGCAGCTGTTTTGGGGATTAAGTGCATTCATGTTTGAAAGTCTCTAGAAGAGTGTCTGGAACTGTACGTACGAATGAAGAGGTGAGGATAATTAGCAGAGCCACGCTAGGCTGTGTGGGGGTGGGGGTGGGGATATTATTAACTTGGGTCCTTTGTGCTGGAGTAGGAGGTCGCTTGGTACACACACACACACACACACACACACACACACACACACACACACACACTTTCTTCAGACTTTCCTGCACCCAACATCCCAACATGTCATCCACTCTTTCTCCTGGTGCAGTCACATCTCCCCTCAACTTTGGAGCACCAGAGTCTAAGACACCGGGGACTCGAAATGCACCTACCGTTATTGGGTTGTCTTTTGCTGCCACCTCGTGGTAAACATGGGAATTTCGGCTCTATTTCTGTACTTTGTAACGAGCCGTCTGCCAGGTCCTGGACAGCCATGACGAATGGATGGTAAAGATACCGGGGTATTCTCCTTTGCTCTTGCAGGGTGTAATGATAGGTTGGGAAAAGGGAGTGCTGAAGGGAGTGAAGCTGGTCTCTACGCACCCTGGGAAGACTGGCAGGGGTTCGATGCAGAAGAATGGGCGAAAGCTTCCTCCCAGGGTGACTCTTTTCCTGATTATTTCCTCCTTGGTCCTTTTCACCACGTCTAAATTATCAAAGAATACATATTACCTAATTTATTTTTAAATATTTATTTATGTTATTCCAAATCCTGTGTATGCACGCGTGTATGTGTAGGTATGTGCACGCGAGGGCAGGGGCCTGCAGAGGTCAGAGGAGCTGAACCCCCTGGAGCTGGGCTTACAAGACGTTGTGAACCCCTTGACTTGGGTGCTAGGACAAGAGCTCTCCTCCTGGAAGAGCAGCTCATGCTTTTAACTGCTGAGCCGTCTCTCCAGCATGTCTAATTTATTTAACGTCTGAGGGCCTGACACTTGGTGGACGCTCTGTAGAGGTGTGAAGAGTGGATAAACAAGGTATGCGGAAGGGTTTGGCTGGAACACTGCAGGCTTTGAAGCTAGGCCAGGTTGAGATGCTGAGCGCTAACGCCAGATGTCAGCAGTGGAGTGGCGGAGCACATCTGTAATCCCAGCCCTCGAGAGTTGAGGCAGTATAGGCGCGACTGGTCTACAGTGTGAGTTCTGCCTCAAAACAAACAGAACAAGAAAAAGTTTAAGTGTGGTGGGTTGAAGAAGAGATCACACAAAGCAAGGTTGCTGTGAACTAGGGAAGTCGCGCGCTCTACCTCTGAGCAGGTTCAAAGGAACAGGGGGCGGGTCCTCATGGGCGTGGAAACTGGTTTGGGGCGGAGCCTTTGCTGAGTCTAGGTGACAGTAGACCGGGTCAATATGGGCGGAGCCTTCTCGATCTATAGCCAATAGGGAGCAAGGGTGGGGTTGGAGGCGTGACCAAGCGAGGGACCAGTAAAAACGTGGGGCAGGGCTTAAGACGGGGGACGAGGAGGGGGGAGGGGGAGGGCAGAGTCTGGCCGGCGAGGGTTGGGATCAGACCAATCAAGGAACAAGATAAGCCTGTGGGGGTGGTGCCAGGCCAGGCTTTCCCGCTGTCCCGGGTCCTGGAGCGCTCCAGGCCCGGCACATCTGTCATCGCTCTGGTTCCTCTTCACGCGGACCACCGCGTGTGTGTGTGTGTGTGTGTGTGTGTGTAGGATTGTCCAGAGGCAGGGGCAAGACTGAGGCTATTGAGCTCCAAGGTTCTGCGCTCCGGGCAAGGGTCCTGCCGGGGCTCTGGCGAGCTCAGCTCCCAGGTCAAGCGGGTGCCAGAGCACTGTGCCGTCTCTCCAGCAGCTCTGCGGGTGAGCGGGGCTGCGGGGCCTGTGCATGCATGCGTGTTTGGATAGCTTTGTGTGGGTGAGCACCGTGTGCACCTGGGGATAGTGTGCGCGTGTGTGGAGTTGCTGCGGGGAGCTGAGTGCCTGTGTGAAGTTCTCTGCTGCGTGCTCAAGGGCTGTCCTGTGTGGGAGTGGGGTGCAGGTGAAATGCACAGAAGGGGGCATGTCAGAGTATCATGGAGGAAAAGAAAGGTGAGGTACAAAGATACTGGGGAGTGGGCTTGGGGCAGGATACTCATGGCACGTCATGAGGAGAACATGTGAGGACAATTGTGGGAATGTAAGAATTGCAAGTGTATGTGCCTGCTTGAGTGGGTGGCATTGAGGGTGCCTCTGACGGAGTAGGGATGGAGAGGTGGCATGCTTGCTCTCAGAGGGGCGAGTGTGGTGGGTAATAGACCTGGCTGGATTAGCCCGAAATCATGTCAGTTTCTTACTTTGACGGCTGGGAGAAGAGTGGCCAGGGTCAGTGAGGGCTGGGGCACCTGAGAACCCGCTAGGCAGTGTCCACACTGTGTGTGAAGGGAGCTGCCATTTCACCAGCAACTCTTCGTTCCCAGACTCTGTGCTCACCCTGTCCTGGCGGTATCTGAGTTTGAACATGGTACAAAAATACCAGTCTCCTGTCCGAGTATACAAGTATCCATTCGAGCTGGTCATGGCGGTGAGTGACCCTTGGTTCTTGGGCTCTTGTGACTGGACTCAGTCCTTCTTGTGACTGGAGGTCAGCTGTGGTGGGAAGGGAAGATGACATTTCAGACTATGAAATGGGAAGACATTACTGACCTGCTCAGCTGCCCTGACTTCTTTGCCTGGCCACCCCCTTCCACCTGTCATGACTCTTGGCACCCAGCCTAGCAAGATTCTAGAGTGGTGGTATGTGCCTGTCATTGCAGCATTCAAGAGGCTGAAGCAGAAGGATCAGGAGTTCAAAGCCATGCCGGGAAACATAGAAACAAAAATAGGGGATGGAGATGGCAGCCTTCCGACCTGAGTGTGTACATGTATAAGTGTCTTGCGATCTCAGTGTGTACATGTGTATAAGTGTCTCGCATGAGGCAGGTGGGTGGCTAGCACTGACCCCCGATTCTTGGCCTTGTGGGCCAGGTCTGTGCCCTGTGGCCAGAGCGAGGGCATGCTTGGATTTCTTCTCTGGGCTCCATCACTCTGTCTCCTGGAGCTTCAGGCTCTCCCTGGAGAAATGGAGGCAGCGCTGCCAGTGCAGAGTGATAGAAGTGACTGGTGTCCCTGTACCTGTGACCTTCCCTGTTATCACACAAGGTCTAGAGCGGGAGATGAGGGACAGTAATGGATGCTGGCCAGGTGTGCAGGAGGCTCTGAGTTCCATGCTAGTGCACGCGTGCGCGTGTGCGCGCGCGCGTGCACACACACACACACACACACACACACACACATGCACACACGCAGAGAGAACAAGGTTTTATAAATTATTGTATTAAAATATCTTACCCGGCTTAGTGGTGCATGCCTTTAATCCCAGCACTCTGGAGGCAGAGGCAGGTGGATCACTGTGAGTTCCAGACTATCCTGGTCTATAAAGAGTCCAGGACAGCTAGGGCTACACAGAGAAACCCTAAACTAAAACAAAACAAAACAAAATCTTCCAAGTGTGTCCAACTTGTGAACTGTGAGCTACACGTGTCCCAGGATAGCTATGAATGTGGGCCAACGAACTGTAGACCACAACATCCTATCAGTGTCAAAAGGATGGATACCCCTGCCAGTATCCAAAACACCGCTGTCTCCCCATTCTGCTGCACCCTGCCCCAACTGCTGACCCAGCCTTCTTCCTAAGAACCCTTCTCAGCTGGTGGATCTGTGCGTGTGTCCTATCGGGTCCAACTCTATGAGCCCATATGCTTATGTTTTTTGTTTGTTTGTGTTTTTGACACAGGGTTTCTCTGTGTAGCCCTGGCTGTCCTGGTCTCTCTTGATAGACCAGGCTGGCCTTGAACTCGCAGAGATTCACCTGCCTCTGACTCCTGAGTGCTGGGATTACAGGTATGTGCCACCTCGCTCAGTCAGACAGAAGATAAAGGGTCACAGAAGGCATCATCACACATGGCAGATTCCCAGTCTGGGTAGCCTTGGGGCAGGTGACTTTGCTTCCAACCTTTTGCTGCCCATATTTAAAATAGGGATCTCTGGCTTTCCAAATCACGGTGATGGGCTGTTGGTTGGGTGAACTGATATTGGCAAGCTCCTACAGCAGGCTGTGGTAAGAAGGAAATGAGCCATGAATTCTGACTCTTACTCTTGTTCAGGTGGGCTGTAGAGTTCTTCTTTGCCATGGGTCTGTGACTCCAGAGGATGAGGCTAAAACTCAGCCATTTTGGTCAGATGTACCAGATCCCTGCTGCTTCATGCCACACTCTGGCATAAGGTTGTCATGGTGACAGCAGTGTGTGTGCCCAGCCCAGTACATAGCTCACTACATACTAAGCAGATGAGGAATGGTGGATGAGGAGGGTTCCCTCAGCACGAGCAGAGCCCGGGGCTCAATCCTCGGCACTGCTGTTTCATATGGCAGTGCTCACCTAATCCCCACCCAGAAGTGTAGACGTCAGAGGCTAGGCTATCCTCAGTTTGTCTTGAGTTCGAGGCTGCTAGCCTGAACTACTTGAGACCCTGTATAAAGGAGAAAGGCTGGTGAGATGGCTCATTGGATAAAAGTGGCTGTCTTCAAGCCTGATGATCTGAGCTGCATCCCTGGGACCCAAACGGTGGAAGAGAATAGACCCTCACAAGTTGTCCTCTGACCTCCACAAGTACAGCCTCCCAAATAGTAAATAAATGTATTTTAAACATTTAAAATACCTTAGAGGGGAGGGATGGTGGGTACCGCTAAGTCTTCTGCTGGCCCTGGCCACTCGCACTTTCTAAGCTTCTAACCTGTTCATTCACTGAGTAGAGGAGAGAGCCTGTCCTCTCTTTCTAGAATTGTTTCAAAATCCAGGTGTAGTGAGAATTTTGGAATTTTGGCTTAAAAAAAAAAAAGCACAGAAGTTGGGCACAGTACATGCCTGTAATCCCAGCACTCAGGAAGGCAGAGGCAGGGGGATCATTGCAAGTTCAAGGCCAGCCTGGTCTACAAAGTGAGTCCAGGACAGCCAGGGCTACACAGAAAAACCCTGTCTTGAAAACAAAAAACAAATAAATAAAAACCACAGCCAAAACACACAAATATTACAAAAATATATTTTTATTTTAATCCCAGTTGTGGGGATATGGGGCTGCTTCTCAGCAGCTGACTATGATTTGCCTCATGTTCTAGCAGAGGCGTGATTTTGCCAGCTGCAGAAAGTTTTTTCAGTTGTGTAACATTTGGAATTCTGGGGATTTTTTTCAGAGGGTATATAAATGCTAGAGCCCCAATAGGAGGTTTGTTAGGTTGGTGTTTGTTAAGTAGTAATGTACAAAGAAGAAAAAGGAGGTGGAGGAAGAGGAGGAGGGGGAGGAGGGGGAGGAGGAGGAGGAGGAGGAGGAGGAGGAGGAGGAGGAGGAGAAGAAGAAGAAGAAGAAGAAGAAGAAGAAGAAGAAGAAGAAGAAGAAGAAGAAGAAGAAATTAGATATTCTGAAGACCAAACTTGCTCCAAGGAGCTTGATACCCCTAATTAGCAAGTAGTCCAATGAAAACACCAGCCCTGACTTTCCTCGGGGATCTCTTTCCTTTCCTCTCTGTTCTTTTTTCTTTCATATCTAGTGTTGGAAAGTTGAAAGGGTGGATGAAGGGGTGAGAAGAGTGAAAGAAAGAACCCAGGAGGAAGCAAATGCCGGCTACACCTATGACCTCCATACACATGTCTATAAGCGGGAAATGATCTGCTGCTATATGGGCTTAATAAATGTAAACTCAGATGGGGGAGGGGGTGTCAAACACCTTTAATCCCAGGTCTCAGAAGGCAGAGAGGCCGGTGGATCTCTGAGTTCCAGGGCAGCCTGGTGTACAAAGTGAGTTTCTGGGAAAGCCAGGGCTACATGGAGAAACCTTCTCTTAAAAAACAAACAAAAAAAATCTAAACTTAATTTATCATGTATAGGTTATAAAAATATTCACAATCGGGTGTGGTGGCACATGCCTAGAATCCTAGCAGTAGGTGGGAAGATGGTAGAGGCGAGAGGATTGGGAGGCCAAAGCCATTGTGCACTACAGGCTAGCTGGAGCTATATGAGACACTGTTGCAAGTCCCCCACAGCCCTTTTTTTAAAAAAGAGAAGAAAAGGGAAGGTTTTCAAATAATGAATTTTGAGCACTTGGGAGAATGAGGCAGGAGGATCTCTCTGAGTTTGAGGCCGGCATGGTCTGCATAGAGAGTTCCAGGCCAGGCAGGACTACCTAGAGAGACCCTGTCTCAAAAACCAAACCAAACAAACAAATTAAGCAGTGAATTGCGTTGAGTCATCTTCAAAGTGTTCTCTAGAAGGCGGAGCACAGCCACCTTCTCTCCTCTTCCGTCCTGTTCCTGTCTGTGTCCAGATCCTGTAGCTTCACCGCAGACAAAGCCACCCTGCTCACAGCTGACAAAACACCATTGTCCCTCAGACAGCTACATAACTCCGCAGGACTTGTGGCTCTGGAGGCACAAAGGGGCTTTTCTGCCCTTAATGCCCCTCTTTGTTCCTCAGCTGATTCTTGCCCTCAGCGTGGGTTCCAGGCTGGGCCATTGGGGTGAACTTAGCTGACTCCAGGCTTCCGAGCCGCTGGCCTTTTGCTTTCTGTTTAAAGTGTCTGGAGAATTGGATCACCCCTTCATGCTTCAAAAGAAGCAGAAGAAGCTGCAGTCAGTGATTTACTGACTGACTTCTGAAACCGTTTACAGATTGGTTCATTCATTCTTATTTATGCTATGATGCATCCACGAGTTTATCTGTATCTTGTGCATGTAGGTGCCTGCCAAGGCCAGAGCATAGCGGAACTGGAGGCACAGGTGTTGTGAGTCACCTGCTGTAGGTTCCAGGAACCAAACTCTGGTCCTTGGAAGAGCTTAGTAAGTGCTTTTAACCACGGAGCCATCGCTCCAGCAAGATCTCTAATATACATATAGTGTATATGAGGTCAGAGGATAGCAGCCTGGATTCAGTTTTCTCTTACCATGTGAATTCTGGGAATCGAACTCAGGTCTCCAGTCTTAACAAAGACACGTTTGCCCACTGAGCCATCTCACTGGCCCAGTTGATTGACTTAGACAGGATCTCAGTCTGTACCTCAGCCTGGCCTGGAACTCCCAGCAATCTTCCTGTGTCAGCCTCCTAAGCGTGGGAACTTTTGAAAGGATTGAGCCAGGGAGATGGCTCTGTGGGTAAAGAGCTTGCTGTGCAGCCACGAGGGCCTGCCATAGGACTCCCCAGCACCCGTGTGAAAGCTGAGTGCAAAGTGTGCGCCTTCAGCCCTCAGGGTGGGGACAGAGACAGGCAGGTCTCAGGACTGTCAGTCAGCCTGGTAGAGACATGCTGAGCCTAGGCATAGTGAGCAATTGTATGTGAAAAATGAGATGGACCGTGATGGAGGGGGATACCGGACATCGACTCCTGATGTCAGGAACACTTGTGTGCAGGTACCTGTTTACGCACACACGCACGCACGCACGTATGCACACACCCACAGGTGCACACCGAAGAGTCTGGATTTTTTTTTTTTTTTTT